CTAACGCAGTCCCTGGCAGTCAGGAGGTGATAAATTCATGCTTGAGAAAGAGGAAAAGGGAAGGAAGAAGAAGAGAACAGAAACAATTCCTATACTATCATAGAGATCTTCCAATCACCTGTGGGATGTCAACATTTGGAGCTTCCCCCCCAGCACATTGAATAGGAAGAGAATTCATAATGCCTCTAACTTCATTCTTCTCCATTACAAACCGAGGCTTTAAGAGAATCTGTCACTTTCTGTAGGGCAGGATTCTTCCTGCCGAGGGAGACAGCAGCCCACCAGGACCTAAGGGTCACTCAGCAGAAAGCCATTTGCTCACTGGAAGCCAACAGCAGCTTATTGGTGCTGCTTCATTCAGTCCAGAAGCCAAGGGCTGGAGGAGTCACAGCACTGTCTAAAACAGCGGTCCCCACGATGCTTTCAGAACAGGACACCTCGACCTGAACCCAGAAGCAGGGAGTCCAGACAGAGAGAGAAACCTGGGGAGAGGACAGGTCACACCAGTGGCACCACCGTGACCTTAGAGTGCTCCTCCCTGTCCGCTGGTTTTCTAGTCTCAGAATATTCTTCATCACAGGTATTCTTGTTGCAGCGGCTCACTGAATTTTAGCTGGCTTATTGCACTGTGCCCACGTTTATCAGACCAGAAAAAGGACCTTTCTCAGAGGCTGCTAAGCCACAGGGGCTGCACTTAATTGTAGTGGGACCGATGGCCTGACGAAGACCTTTGGAACCCTGGACAATCATGTCAGTCATGTGCCTCTTTGCCCCATCTTGGGCACAAAAGGACAGTCCAGACTTGACCATGGCAACTGTGTGTCCCTTGAGTAATCTCTAGAACAGCATTGAAAATGTGCATTACATTTGTCCAATTCTCTTCCAGCATGGCCTACACACTCTGACACAAGAGTTGCACGATGCTCCCAGCTCCTTGTAGGATCCCAGGCAGACGGTGAGGCTTCCGTCAGTATTTGTTGGATTGAATTGACCATCAGTATTTGTTGGATTGAACTGAAGAACCATTGGGAGGGAACTGATGGAAGGATTTTGAAATTAGGCAAGGGGTATTAGTCTTCTTGCATAGTCTGAACAAGCTACTAATCAGTCTGAAAAAGCTTTTACCGATTTTGTTGTTGGAGAGGAATTGAAAGTACGAAAATTACACGTGAGGAAATCGACCAAGCTGTTGATTTGGGAAGACCGAACTTCTCCTGCAGGAACACGAAATTAATTACGAGACTCTCTCTCTCTCTTTTCCCCCCCAGGAATAAGTGAATGATCTTAGACAAATGAAGTGCAACAAAGTTCATAAGCTTACTGAATTAATTGTGCTCTTCATCTTAAAAACACTAAAATAGGTTTAAAAACAGTTCAGGGTGTCATCATTTTGACATTTCACTGACTGGATGAAAATGTCTAAAACATAAAAGTGGCACCTGCTCGGGAAGCATAAAAACTAAGAAGTGGTCTCTTCTGGAGAAGATAAACAAACAAACAAACAAACAAACAAACACGTCGAGGGTTATAAAGTTGGAATAGTAAAGACATGACATATTTGACTAAAATAGGTTATCTTTTAGGGTAGCATGTTTTCTCCTAAAAATGATACCAAAACCCATATTTGGGGGTTTGTAATACATTATTTTAATCAAGCAGCCAATTTTATTATTTCCAAACCATTTTGCACAGTGTTATGTATTAGCACACGGGTTCCCTTCATCAGTCATCTGCTATCGGTGGCTCATACCATCTGCTGTTCTTTATGCTCTAGAACCAGTGACACAGGAAATGTATGTATTTTCTTATATTAAACGACGCGTCCTTCGGTCTGCTATTGGCCCTCAGAAGAGCTAAATGAGATTGTGCATATCCCTGAGTTGGGCGTGCTCGACACTTGGATAATTTGGGCTTGGAAATGAAAATTTCCAGGTAAGTGTGCTTGGTAGGCTAGTGATAAAGCCCAGACCAGATGCTTAGGGCTTGTAAGACATTTAAATGTCCAAATATTGAAGCATTAAAAAACCCTGTTGGGGAAGAGCTTCAAAACCTGTCAAAACCACACTGCTAATGGGTCTGCAATAAGACATCTCCCCAAGCACAGAGTGGAGGCAAGGAGGAGAGAAAAGTCTCACAACTGTTTGGAGGGACGTTTCTCCTGGGACATGGGCAGCGGTTATAAAAAGCACCTATCACGTTGCAGATTATTGGCCAAAGAGAACTTGTCCCCGATTTGCGTATTTCAAACATCTGAGTTTTAATTTAATATAACAAGAGTTAGTTCCTGTTACCAAGGAGACCATAAACTGTATCCTAGGAATGGACACAAATTATTCACACCTGCAAGGAACAGTTATCTTATACCTACTTTACGTCAAGTACCTTACAGTATTTATAAGAAGACAGCTTTTGGGGGCAAGATATATTGCAAATACAGGACCACTAACAGGTGGGCAGATTGACAGTACGAGTACTTAAAACAACCCTGCCAAGTCTCTACAAAGAAGGTTTTTTAGGCAGCTAATAACCCAGAAAAATGGACAATAAAGGAGACCTGTTAGGATTACAAATACATGAACATCTGTGTTGAAGAAGAATGAACAGCGCACGGAAACCACCTGGAGATCTGAAGCCAGAGATCTAAAAGATCAAACCATTCTTCTCTAAAAGGAGAAAGAGAAAAAAGTAAAGTGGAAAGGTTAAGTAAAAACAGACACATTGTTCTTTCCAAAGAGAATCAAATATATATATATATATATATATATATATATATATATATATATATATATACAGAGAAAGCAAAGGATGATGGGAAAAGTGAGTTTGCCCTCAGTTATTGTCCTTGATGCTCAGAGAACAACTGAGGTAAATCCCTGATTTGGTGTGTATGATATCAACAAATATGCCAAGGTATATTCTGGAAAGCTGGTTTAATATATAAATGTCAGTCCACAGGTTCTTGGTTTAAAAGAGAATATTAGCTCCACCCGAAGTGCTTTTTGAGAGAAAGGCCCTGCCACCCCAGCCCCACTGGCTGCCACCCCAGCCCCACTGGCTGCCACCCCAGCCCGGCCGGCGGAGGGGTCAGGATCTGCAGGGGAAGGTGACTTCTCGTGGAACACTTTCTTCTGCAGACTCTGACTTCCTGCCCAGAGTCCAGAGCCCCGTCTTTAGCTGGTGGTTCACTGAGTCTGTGAAGAGACCAGAGCAGATGAGATGGGGCCACCTAATCGGAGCAGGACCCCACTCAGGGAGGGCCAGCGTCTGTCCCCTAGTCCAAGGAACCCTGGAATGGGAACAGGGTTAGCACAGGAAGAGAGGGTGGCAGGGGGTCAGCTCCAGGACGTGGGCGATGAAAGGGAACGTTTCTCCAGGTTGGGAGCCAGTATCACAAAGATCTTGGTATATCCCAGAACGGAGCTCCTATGTCTGCCTAGAATTCTCCTTTCTTTTTACTACTGGAAAAGCACCTAAAAAGATCAGAGAAAACTGAGAATGAAAATTCAGAAGGGGCTTCCTCGGCTGGAGCAAAAAGGGCAGGAGGGAGCGGTCAGGCCGAGAGCTGTGTGGTTTGGGCCAGGGCCAACTGAAAGGGGACAGGGCACTTGGGTGTTGCTCCCCCAGCCCTACTGGTTCCGAAGAAGGGACTGAGGCTGCGGAGGGCGGAAGGGGGTGGGCGGGGCTGTAAGGCAGGGCTTGGTGGTGAGTGGCCTCTCCATTTAACCTGGCAACTTCAACCCCGGAGGAGGATGGGTGGAGACGGTGAAGAGCCACTGCCACTGTCAACGGATGGCCTTCCAGGCGTCTCACCCCTGCACGGAACTCACCGTAACGTGGGTGCTTGCTTAAGAAGGGCAGAGGCAGCGGGGAAGGCAGCAGGGAAATCCCAGCGTCCTGCCCTGGAGGCGGTCAAGGGAGGAAGGACCCAGGAGCCCCGAATCCCGGCCTCCATCCTGGCCTCTCAGAGCCAGGGAGCGTCTGGTTATAAGCTCAGTCCAAAGGCCGCCTCCCCGGGGCCCCCTGCTGTTCTCACCACCCACAGTCCCCGAGGAGAAACGTCCCACTGCTCTCGCTTAGCTCTGGGCCTTCCCACAGCTGCCCATTGCTTGGCCGAACCTGAGTCAGGCTTCCCTCCCGCCCACTGGATCCTGACCTGGGGGCTGGCTCCCAGATCTAAGCCCGCACTAAAATGCAGAGCCGCTCCCCCTCAGCTAAGTCCCCAGATCCCTGGGCCACGGGGGCACACTTCTCGTCATACCTTGGTTTTCCCTCCCTCTCATCTGCCCTGTTTCCCTGTACTGTCCCCTCCAGTCACAGTCTAAACAGCACAAAACCTACTTCTGCTTTGTGTCGAGACGCTCACAGACGCCTAAGGCCAAAGTGTTCCCCTGTGGCAATTGCCTTTCTTTCTAATTCAAGTCTCTTCCCAAGTCTTGACTTGGGCATCGCTGGTAGCTCAGCGATCCCGGGGAGATCTGAGCCCCCGCGCAGGTGGGGACGAAGTCTCGGGAGCATTTGTCTGTCTCTTGGGAAAGGCAACGAGGCCTGAAATGCACCACCCTCTCTTAAACTACAACTTTTCCCAGGGAGCGTGGATTTCTGAACGCGAGGTTCTAGGCTTGGGCTGGAGGCACCGCAGGCTGGGCAGGGGAATTGATGTTTGAAAACCACCGCGGCCATCCCCGCTGGGGCGAGGGGTAGGCTCAGAGGCGGTTTGGGTTAAAACCAGGAGTGAGGGATGGGGCGCGCGAGGGCGTGAGTGCCAGGTACGCGGAGAGCCCCGGGAACCCGCGTCTCCGTGGGCGAGCGCGGGCGGGGGAGGCGCAGGTGGTCTCCCACCCTCCGCAGCCTCGGCCCGGGTGCTTCCCGTTGCAGCTGAAGCAGCAGCCGCCGCCGCCGCCGCCGCAGCGAGCGGGACGGAGTTAGGACCGCTCGGAGCGCTCAGGTCCCGGGTAGTATAAGGTTTGCAATCCTTCCACTCGCTGCCAGTTGCAGAAGAAGATCCGCTTTTAAGTGAAACGTACGCGCCACCCCTCCGCAGGCTGCGGCTTCCCCGGGCTCGCCGCCTCGTCGCCGGCGCCCCCCGCCCCCGCGCTCACTCCCGCGTTTGCACGCGCCCCTAAGTTTGCCCGGAGCTCGCCTGGCCACTCGGAGCCGGTCCGGCCGGGCGCGGCGGGCGGGGCGCAGCCGGGCACCGCAGTCCAGAGGCGTCGTGGGCCATGAATGTTTCATCAAACGGACTCGGGGTGCGTCGCGTCGCGCAGCCATCGGCGCCCTGTGCGGTGACATTTCTGACTTGAGTGGAGGAATGCGCACGGGGAGCCTGGCGGGACCTGGTCTTGGAGGATGTTCCGGGCGCCCAGGCTGATTGCCCTGACTGATGTCCCTTCGGACCCAGCGCAACGTCTTCATCTGAAATAAAATGAAAGCTGTGCCGAGCGGGGTAGAACCTCCGGGCTGCTGGTTCTGATCCCCGGGAATGAGGGAATCATCCTGCGGTTTGATTTGAAAGGAAAAAAAAAATTAGAGAAAAAAATTAGGAATAGGAAAAAAAATCCCTCCGTAAAAGTTTAAGGCGAGAAGTGTCAGAGGCAGCGGCGCGAGGAGGCGCGGGGGAGAAGCGGGCAGGCGGGGACTGGGCTGCGAGACCTCCCGGCGGCTGCGATTCCATTATTAATATCAGTGGATTTTTGGAGGGAGAGGCACCTTTCCCGTCCTCGCTTCCTCTCCGCCCACCCCTGCTCCCTCCTCCTCATCTACCTGTCAAAGTCACCGATCTTTTGCATTTCGGAAGAGGACGTCAACGGGAAGGAATCCCCCCCTCTCCGCCGGGGCTCCGAGAGGGGGCGACGCGCGGGAGGCTCCCCCCAGGAGCCCGGAGGCGAAGGTAATTAAGCGGCGGGAGTGGCGGGCTGGCGCGGGGCTCCCGGCGCGCGGAGTCCCCTCCCGCGGCGGGCCCGGCGCGATCGGGACCCCGGGGCTGCGACGGCGCCGGGTACACACCCCGCCCTTCTTGCTGCCCCATCGGTCCTCCTGGAGGCTCGGCGGGGGCCGCCACCGCCCACCCAGCTCCACCCGCGGGCTCCGCCGCTGCGGCCGCCGCCCGGGGTGCACCAGCCTAGGCTGGGCCGCCGCCCCGCGCCGTCCGCTGGGCTGCCCTGGGCGCCAGGGCCATCGGGCCCCACGGTGAGTGCCGCCACGTCCCCGCTTCCAGCCCATCCCGCAGCGCCTGTTCCCCACCCCCCACCCCGGGCCGCCCCTCCCTCCGGCCCCCCAGTGCCAGCCTCGGGCGGGTGGCCAGGCTCCCGGTGGGCGCGGAAGTTTGCGGAGCGCGGGGAGGAGGCAGCGCGCGGAGCCCCTGCGCGAACCCCACCCCCACCCCGCGCACTCCCACCCCCACCCCGGGCTCCCCGGTGTGCGTCCCGCGGGGGGCGCGGGTGGGCTCCGGAGCCCGGACCCTGGGTCGTGCCTCCGCGGACCGGCGCGCAGCCGGCGCGCTCTTCCCGCACACACCTGACCACACACCGCGCGCCCAAGGGTCCTTCCTTTTTTCCTTTCTTTCACCAATTGTCTTTGTTTTGGGGGGAAAAAAACTTGCCCTCTTGCCGGCCCAGTGCAGCCGGTGTTCACACGTTGAGCTTTTGAAGTTCCCTTCATTTAATCCCCTGTCTTGGTGCGAGATTAAAGCCTGACTATCCCGTGCTGTGCGGCTGGGGAGACCGGGAGAGTCAAAGAGGGAAGGACTCGGTGCGTGGGGAGGCTGTTTGGAACGTTTTCCCAGCGTCTCCGCTGGCAGAACCCTAATCGGTTGATGGATCGGCTAGGGAAAATGAACTGCCCTCGCGTACGGATCTGTGGATATCTATATATAATACAAATAATTCTGAATATTATTGGGCCCAAAATAACCGATTAAAGGATTCATACACCGAAAAACTTGGATACAAAAAGAAACTGCGCCCTCTGCTGTTTATTTTAGTCATCTTACCTGGGGACCCTTTTTTTTCTTTCTTTTCTTCTCCCCTTTTCCAGAAATCCACTTCAGAGATTGTTTTCTGGGCCAGGGAGGAAAATTTTTAGTGGGGGTTTTAAAAGCAACGTTATTTGGAAAAGTCAGACATGTGTTCTGCATCCTATAGACCTCCAGAGAGCAGAGGCTTTTGCCCCCCAACCCCTTCCCCATTCTTCCCTTGACCCCGGGACAGGGGCTGGAATCTCTCCTTTGCACAGTTTGCCAGTTTTCGGAACGGGAAATTCTGAGCAGGATTCAACATTCCGCTAAACTAAACATATGGTGTATCTGGCAGTAGCTTTGCTCTAGAAATAAGGCTCTATTTTATGACCGAAAATACTAAAGTTTTCTTATCTTACAGAAATGAGGGGGGAAAAAGACTAAAAAGCTCTTCCAGCAAAAAATCGTTTCTTTAAACATACTTAACGGTTAAGCTTCTCAGGACAAGTTTTTCAGACATGCTCTCCAAGGAGAGGGAGGTTTGGGGGGGACTTGTCCAGCCCTGCAAGAGCATCCATCCCCCCTGGGGTATCAGCAACCCCCAGTTTCCTGAAGTACTTTGGAACTCTGTCACTTTTGAATGTGACACAGTCCCTTTAATGGGCCTCCAGCCCCTATTCTTTGGGGGAAAATGAACAGCTTCCTAACTGCCCAAGACTTTGGGGGAAGACAAACAACTTTCAGTTTTCCGTTAAGACAAAAGGTGGATGTTCACCTGCGCATCACAGAACAAAGAAAAAAACGCACCATGTTCCCCGTGCGGTGCCGTTCCAGCCTGCGTGTGTGAGGGGTGTATTTCCTTTCCCGAGTGTCATGAAATGAGACCTGTTTCACCACTAAAGACCAGCATGAGCCATGCAGAATCTCACAGATCTGTCTAGTACCTTGATGATACTTCCTGTGGTGAAATTTAAGTGGGACCATCTTAACATGTTATAAGAAAACATTTTCTTTGCATGGAAAGATGCTTTTCTGCTTGAGGTTTTTGTTTTGTCAGTGTTCACTGGACACGTGTGTAAAAGTGATGCGAGTCACCTTTTTCGGGGGAGGCTGGCCATGTGTTTCACAGTGTCCATTTGCACGCTTGTAATTGGAGCAAATACCTGTCTTTGCTTCCATTGTTATTCTGGGGGGGGGGAATCAGATAATATGCTTTAAAAGATGAAACTGCTACACCTTTAATCGGTATGTTTTCTAAAAGTTGTAAGATTTTGAGAGAAAGTTTTAGTTACAAAAACCCCAAGTTGCTCGAAAAGAAATAAAATAGCATTTAACTCCAAAAGTTAGTTGCATGTTCACAGAAAAATGTGTGTGTGTATGAATTGTATTTCAGGTCAGTAAGAGATCTAGCATACTTTAAAAAATAACTTTATCTTCAGAACCCAGAGTTGTGTTTCAAAACTTCAGGTGGGCGTCGATTTTCTCACCTGCATCCTTCAAGCCTTGCAGGAGGAAAGGTTTATTCATGAAAGGGCAGATTTCTTGGAGGCTGAATTGATTCTGAAATGATTTTATGTATTGTCCCTATCTTTGCACGTCCTGCCGAAAGTATACGGTCTAATTTCTCCCATCAGTCTTCTCTCAGTGAAAACAGATCTTTCTAATACCAAGGTGTGCTCCATGGTTTTATTAAAAATCTCATGGAAGGCAGTTGCTCATAAGATCCAATCAAGTATGAGTAAAAACAAAAAAAAAAAGTCAGTTGTCTTGCAGAACATGGTAAATGCTGTATGTTTTGAGAGACAGTTAACAAAAGGAGAGAAGCAAGTGTTCCCCAGGAAGATGGAAAGAAACATTCAGAATCTGTTAGTTACCTCGTCTAGTCCAGCTCATCGGCACTGTGTTGGAAGCTGCTAAGTTTGATAGGTTCTTGGATTTGTATATATTGTTCTCCCTTTATATTTTCCACTCAATTGACTATATGATGATAGCCTTTTGGTTCCTTCCCATTCAGAAACACGTGTATTTATAAAAGCCTCCATGTCTACGAGGGATGAGTCAGTAGCTGTCTATTTCAGGTGCCCCTGAAGAGCCAAGTATTTATGGAACAAATAGGCTGCTGGCACCACCCCCACCTCGGAACAAGATTATATAATAGAACGAAGGTGGAAAGCCAGCTAGAGTTTGTGGATTCACTCTCAGTGTTTTCCTCTCAGTTGACGAAAATGGCGATTGGTTTCGGAATATAATTGTCCATGATTTTGATCATTATAACTTCCGTGAAATATTTCGGGAAGACTCCCTCTCTGCCGAAAGAAAGGGCCCTCGAAATACCTCATGCAGAGTTAATCCAAGGAGGAAGGGAAGTAGCTACAGAGCCCTGGAGAAAGATAATGTTCCATGTGTGCAGAGTCACTTGATAGCCCATTTTAGTCCAGATCAATAGCATCCATCAACTCGAGAGCATGGCATGATATTACCTTTTTGCATTGGCTCTGCAAATTTATCCAGCAGGTCTAAGGGGTTCTCTCGGCATATTCGCGGGCATTTTTATCCGAGGGGGACTCCTCGATGCTTCAGTGCACAGGTAGAGATGGCGAAATGTTTGAGTCATAGTCAGTTCCCAAGGTTTGCAAAGTAAAGACCTGGAATCGGAGCTGCGAACAGTTAAGTGATACGCATGCCTGAGACAAATTCAAAGCCCACGTCACTTGGCAATTCGTTCCATCCCGGGCCAGAAGGGATTAGTTTAGTGCGTTAGATCCCCGAACGTGTCATTGACAGGCCTTCCTGTAATCGGTGTGCCTAGCTCTTGGCTGTGATGACCCACCTTTGAAGAAACTATTGTTAATTTAACCTGGTTGAAAGCACAGCCAGATGAGGACCAGTGCCATGTGGTAATAACGGACGTTCAAAAACAACGTCTTTACATCCTTTTATCTCCTTTGAAAGCACCATCATTCTCCTTTAGGAGAAAACCTCTGGTTTTGACAGAGGCTTCTTTTTTTACAGCATGCCACAAAAGTTCCCAGTTTAAATTTCCTGTTAATTTTACGTGAAGAGGATATTCTTGGACACGTGCGTAGCACCACACAGCAAGGCAAGCCTGACGCACAGGAAGCAGAGTAGGCAACGCTCACGACAGATCTCAAAAATGAGACGGAATGGGATCCTCGTGCTAACAGCAGCTCGGCGACCCCCCGCTCCTGACGTCTGCGTGCGGTGGTCAATATCTTTCCTGTGTCAATGGGAGCTCGTTAAATGTAAATTCCGGAGGCCGACTGAGCCACACCGCATTAGCGCTTGCCAAGGCTTGACATTTTTAATACATTAATAGTATGTCTGTAATGTAATGGAAAACTATTAATCACAACTGGTTATGTGCCAGAAGTGTAGGCTGTAATTGGGCTGCCTCTTGTCAAGAAGGTCTGTCGTGCGGGCCTGCGGATGCCCAGGATTTGAGTATCTCTGCTCTGCATTTCCCCCTGTCAGTTCTGTAACTTCAGTCAGCGGTGCGGTCCATAATTCTGCGTAATGGCCATCGTTATAGTTCTGCTATAGTCTAATGAGAATCCGTTACAGTGGCTTTGCTGTCAGGGCAGGAGGCAGTGACAGGTCCCCATCCATTTCCTTTGTGCCCAGTGTTTTTCATGAGGATATACAGTCGCCTCATAGTTTGTGGTGGTGGGAAGGCCACAGGTGGGTAAAGACTGCAGCCAGGAATAACTGGGAAAAGCTGATAACATCCGCTGGTTAAAAAAAAAAATGGAGATTAATCTCAGGGAGGCTTCAAATATATACCTGGGGTCCGGTTTTAAAAATAATATTGAGGATTATCACCTGGTGCTTAATCAGTTCAGAGTCATTGCCTCCCACCCACAATTTCAGGCCTTCGAGAATATATTGTCCTTCATAAATAAGTTGCTCTGAATTAGGAACTAAGAGTTGAAGTTCATGATTTCTGGTCTAGTGGAGTTCATACTGTGTCCGCTACAACCTCGCCCCCCCCCAACACATACACCCTGAAAGCGTTTGTTCTAACACTGTTGTTGTTCGACAACAAAGTGGTCGTATAACAAAGTAGGAAGCGCCGTTGAATCACGCATCTAGAAAATGTCCGTTTGTACTATTTTAACACTATTTTTTGGAGTATCACTTGTCAAATTGTTGGACGTTCCTGAAAATATCAGCTTACATATACTGATGAATCTGAACCCAACCCAGAAGGCACTAGTGGCCACCACACATGTCCCTGCTGTGTTTTTCTTTTCAGCTTAAGATTTCAGATTGTGCTCCACACAGTATAGTCCTTATGTTACAAGGAAGAGGCAGATTCACACCGGCAGCCCGTCCATGTTTAGACAAACTGCTAATTACCACTTGGTAGGAACTCAAACACTCGACTTTTCCTAATAGGAAATATCCCAGTTTGCAGCTGTATGATAACATTTTATGAATGGGATGTAATGAAAATTGTACTTGCATCCATAAAGCAATTATTATAAATTACTTTGCTATGGAAACACAATTCAACCATCTGCTGGCATTTTATGGTTTCTGTGGCTTAGTTCACTTGAAGATGGTGTATTATTTAAGTACAGTGGGTTTCTTTTATGAGATTGTTTGAAGGTAGGGAACATCCATGCTTAAACTGCTTCATGGGAATTGAAGGATCTCTCATGGTATTTTCTAGAACTCTGGGCTTTTTGTCCTTCTTCAGTGGCTTAAAAATAATTATGGGGACTATGACAACTAATGAAGCAAATACATGTTCGAAACCTGGGATCTGAATTCCATCATTTGTTTAGATGGGGACAGCACTCGCCAATGAGAAAAGTGGCCGGTCAAACTCACCGATAACACATACCCACAGCTATGGAAGCTGTGTTACGAGTTAACCAAAAGTGTCATTAAATAGTCATTTTCATTTTCTCTTAGAATTAGTGCCATATCATTCTGCTTCATGGCCTGTTAACTCACCCTCCGCTGTTTTCAGATGTGCATTTTAAATTGTGTGTTTTACTACAGAGCTTTTCATTTTAAAGCGGCATATAATATTCACCTTTGGGACAGATTCTCCTCTTCTGTTACAGAAAGTAACTACCAGAGCAGATGTCGTGTCCATAAAAAGATGTAAGAGAATGGAGAATTCTTAGAGAAGGAAAATTTGCGGCTTTGGTTTTATCTTGAATCTTTTTTTTTGTTGCAGAAGCCACATCATTGTGATGACTAAATGCCACCAAACGAAAGATGCTAAGTTCTTCCAATACACAATGGGCCTCTTCGGGGACCGAGCTGACAATGCCAGTGTTCACCACAGCTAACAAAAGCTAAGAAATGGACGAGGAGTTTGGAGATTTTTAGGGTTTCTTTGCCAGGAGACAAAAGGCGTGCAAGTGGCTGTCACTTCTGTGTCATTGTTATGAAAACAGTCATTTCCGCCCTCGTTCTGGAAGACTGTCTAGCACCCCCAGCTGGGAGCCTTGTTTAAGTCCGGCTGCTTGCTCCCAGTGTGGTCCAGGTGGAAATGTAATTTTCGAAGTGAAAACCTGTGATTCCCCTGAAACACACACACACACACACACACACACAAACACACATACACGTCTTGGTTTCATGCAAGAGTTCAATCCTTCCTAGTGAAATTCTCCCCCGTGGGAATGATGTCTGTAGCCTGCTCCTTCCAGCACAGCAGCGAGGAAAGGTTACATCCAACCTCCCCCCCACCACCACCGTGTCTGCCTCTCCTACATGTGGTCATGTATTGATTCTGGGACAGTAACTCTTGTTCTTCTTGTTTCTGAAAGGGCGTTGGTGCCAGACGGAAGGAGGATGGTTGGCGGGAAACAGACGCCAGGCTGAAGACGCGCACCCTTGTGCTCCAAGTACTGACATCCGAGGGCGAGAAGCCCTTGGGAGCCGGCCGCACACCCCCAGGATCTACCTCCCAGGGCTATTGGATGTACAGCCAGAGAGCCATCCCTTTGCCGAGTCGTGATCTGCGACCAGACATCTTTTCCAAACGGCAAACTAGACCCCGGTCTAATGGACAGCAAAAAACCTGCCAGCAGCTGTTAACGCCGAACGCCCAAGTATGTTAACGGGTCACCAAAGTCCCTGATGTCCCCGAACACGCACAGTCTCTCAACCCTTCACGTGCACTTTTGGAATCGACGTTGAGGTCTCATCCTCTTTTTTTTTCCTTTAAATATAACGCTCCCTACATCTACACATTGATCTGTATGTAAAATAGACACAGCCCACAGAGAAGCAAACCGGCGCTAGTTCCTGCCAGGGCTGCTGAGAACTTAGAGATGTATTTGTCAAGGTTCCTGTCCATTCACGCCCTCTGGGTGACGGTGTCGTCGGTGATGCAGCCCTACCCGCTGGTGTGGGGACATTATGACGTGTGTAAGACTCAGATTTACACGGAGGAAGGGAAGGTTTGGGATTACATGGCCTGCCAGCCGGAGTCCACGGACATGACCAAATACCTGAAAGTGAGGCTGGACCCGCCGGACATCACCTGCGGAGACCCTCCCGAGACGTTCTGTGCAATGGTGAGGCAGCGCGTTCGAGTAGACTGGTTGTGCGTGGGGGCTTTGGTGCACGCGTGCAAACCAGGCGAGGTGAAGACTCAGCCCGGGCATGGTGATGGTTCTGTGGGGGCCGGGGGGAGGCTGGGGGCCGGTGGGGCGGCTGCGTTCGGTGTGGAGGCTCGTACCATCCGGAGTCACAGTTTTCAGTGCAGTGGGGGCTCTGGGTTCTGTGACTTTAATCGAAACACCGGGTCACGAAAACCAGTTGTACCAGAGGCTAATCAGGAGTTCAGTTCCTTCCTCCGGCATCTGATCAGCATGAGAAGGAGACTCCACGGAATAGAACCGTGAGCTGCGAGGCCCCGCTGTACCACCGGTTGGATGGGCCGAGTTATAGAGTCTGCCGTTTTTGCTGTGTGTGAGAGTCTATTTCTGGGTGGAAGGGTAAACACCATGGGAAAAGGTCACGTTGGAGTGCCACATTGTGGTTTCACCAGGGATATTACTGAAAAGATTCCTGTGAGGTATTAATGTAAGAGTTCGGTGATTAAAATGACGGAAATCGATGGGCTGAGCAATGCATACAGTGTGTGCATTGGGTGTATGTCACTGATTTCTGTTTTTGTTTTTTTGGTTAGAGGTGGTTTTCATGTGTTTCGCGTAGCAGATATAAGCGTATGGCAGATTTTCAGAGTATTCTTACCTGACTTTTATTATCTTGAACCTGGCCCAGGCGTTTTCAGGAGAGTGAAACTGTCCCTCAAAGCGGCATCTGTTCTCAGTCCCCAGTGAGTTACATTAGCATAAGATCATCCTAGGCCCAGCACTGGAGAGAAGGTTTTGTAACAGGAAACAATTTTGAGCAATAAAGAGTGTTTTCACCTAAAAGCTGAGGGCCTGCTATTTTTTAGGAGCGCCTTTTGGGACTGGTTTGAATTATAGTCTGAACCTGGTTGCGTGCGCAGGGAGAGAAGGCGAGGGGGTGATTAGGTGTCACTATGACGAAAGGGCACTGGAGGACTGAATATTTCAGAGAGGGGACCGGCTCTCTGGCAGGCAGGCAGGCAGGTGTGCCCTCTGCAAAGGATAGGCACTTTGGAAACTGGAGACTTCCAGCAGAGGAATTTGTTCCAACACATTTGCAGAATGACAAGAAGTCTGTAGAAAGAGCAAGGGCATTTGTTGGCTTCTACAGGCCTTTCATCGTCTCTCATCAAAGGTCAGGTTTAAGGTCTGGGGGCAGATGGCTGTGCAGGTGAGCGGTGGTGGGCTCTTGCACTCCACGCCGTGGAGAACGTGTTCTGGGCCTGCTCTTCCTGCTGCTCAGAATACTCCAGCTCCGGGATTCGGTTTTCAACCATATGCCACTCCTGGGCTTGTTTAGTGGTTCACACAGGTAAGGACAATAGCAAACCCCTTGTTCAGAGGACTGTTGCCACTTGCACAGATCCCCATGGGTGTGTGTTCAAGGGGTGCTTTCCATGTGTGGCGCCCGGCCTTGGCCTCTGGGGAGAGAATGTTGCTCAGCCCCGTACCCGCCCATCCTGCTCCAAGGTGTGCTTGGCGTCCTCAGCACTCCCCTTTCTCCCGTCATGAGTGGGCAAGGGGATGTCCTAGAACTTCTCCGGCCTGCCTTTCACAGGGACGGGGCCTTAGGGCCTTCAAAGAGTGGGTTCCCACCGGCCCACTGGCTAAGGGATGTTAGAGACCCAAAGAGAGAATAGCATTCAAGTAATTCCTCTCAACTTCATCCCCTGTGGTCACCTGTGTGCTTCTTACGTTCCTGCAAAACCCCTCAGGACAGTCTTTCGGAAAGGCTGCATTTCGCTGGGATGTCAGTGTGTGAAAGCTTCCGTGGATTTAAGATTGTCCTGTAGCCGAAGCCTCTCGCATGCGTGTGACATGCCAACTCACCAACAATGACCCAGTCTAGAAGCACGTTCTCTGGGCAGGTGCGGACGTCCCTTAAAGCGCTTCCATGTGCAGTTCCTGACCTCAGTGTGGGGCTGCGGAGGGACAGGGGATGCTGGCACATCAGGCCTGTCGTGGGGCTCCATGGCCCAGGGTCTAACGGGAATCCATAAAATTATCTGCGTTAGGATTTGCACGCCCTCTTCCTTGCTGTCTCGGAGTCGCTGTGGCCCATTACAGCAGGGAAGCAGTGCCTTCGGAGCACCGGCACCACCCACTCGAGAACCATCCCCACCCATGCCGGCACTGTCACCGCTTAGTCCTGGTATGTAAATGTTTGCTGCAAAATAGTCTCAGCTGTCCCCTGCGCAACTGGTTGACATCCTTGTTAGCTGTGACGATAGCAGTTCTGAGCACCACGGGGATGTTTGGCCAGAGGAGGACCCTATGATTCCCACAGCCTATTTATTGTATGGAAGGTTGAAGTTCATTGGCAATGCACTAAGAGCCTGTGTTGCTGCTTTTTGCATGGGTTTCACCGTTCTGTGCCATCTACCAATGCTGGACTCACTTTCGGGTGAACATTTAGGAGAAAAGGACCACGTGATTCCACTTAACAGTGGATCTCTGCTTGTTAACCTGAGCGCCCTGCTTTATAACGCTTTTGTGTCTGGCGATTTAAAATGGTCTGCCTATTCATGGGACCAGCATTTTGAACGGGAGTTTTATGGGAGAATTCTGCCATTTCTACTCAGGATAGTAGAGTAGGGGAATATGTCGTGTCTATACATGAGTTGTATGTATTGAGATCACACATTTTCTTTTTAATTTAATGTACTTCTTTAAAGTTGTTGGTGGCTAAAAAGTAGCTCTGCTTTAGCTCAGAGGAAGGACCCTGCAGGGGAGAAGAGGGCTGAGCCCTGCTGTCTCCAACGGTGTTTCCACGTCAGGACGGGCGCTCACCTTCCCTGAATCATGTAGAAGCTCTGGGTAGCCCAGCCTGGTCAGTGAACACAGACCACCTGGCAACTAGGATTTGTCCTATTCGCATACAGAGCAAGCGGGGTGACACGGGCCTGTGTGTCCAGCTGAGTGACAACACTGTGCCTCGTTCTTTGTGTTTGGACCAGCGTAACTATCACATTGCCACGCCACGCCCCTGTGGCTTAACAATGGCCAAATTATCTGCCATTCTCTGAGGCCCGTTGCTGATTCTGCTGGATCAGTTCAGCAGGAGCCTGGAAAATAAGCGTACAGTCGAAAGGAGTCGTGTGTGTTGATACAATTTATGGCCCAGAAGTGCTGGTGACCCCAGAAGTGTGAGCCCTTGCGCGCGGCTGTGGGTTTCAGAGCCAGTCCAAACTAAATTAGGAAACAAAGGTTATTAAAAAGTCTTCTGCGCGTGTAATTTTGGCATAATATTATGAGGTGGACATTAACTGTTCCACTTGGAGACTGGAGGCATCATTAACGCAGCATTGCCTTTAATTACAAGTAGGCTCATATTACTAAAAACAGGGAGAAAATCAAATACTCTGAGGGGTAGTTAGCAATACCCTCATTATGTTTACTGGAATAATGAAAAGAAGGGGCATAATTTTTCCAAATAAAATGTCAGAATTTGAAATGGAAATGGATTTTCTTTAGGAAAGTTTCTAATGGGCGCCCGCAACTCTCGACGGGCATCTATTCAGGCACCATAGCGGGTCTGTTAATGATCATTTGATATGGTGCTATTTGCAGATAGACTCTTATTAGGAAGAAGGAAAAAAGACTTTAATTACTGCGAGCATTGTGGGTAGAGCGTAACTCATTACGTCCCGATGGAGTCTGTGAAGGCAGTGGCAAGGCTTCCCGCCTGCTGGTCGGAGGGGCACCCGGTGGGCTGCGCGTGGTCCCGGGCCAGTCGTAACTCACATTTCTGATTTGACCTTGGCTCCGGAAAGCCATCTGGTGGCTATCAGGTGGCCTTGGAGGAGTAAATTTGATAAACTCAGTTGCGTGTTCAACGGCAAGGCATTAATATCAATTTTCCTGAAATGGGAAATGACATTGACTTATACAATAATCGAATAATCTTAAAAAATACACTCTGTTCACATAGAACATAATTCAATAAATGAAGTTTTAATAACAGTGACATATTTCATTTGAACTGATTTATCCCTTAATTATGCCAGAATGGAATTTTTAAAAACCTTCCGTTCCTTCATTATTAACACTTCGTTGCTACGAGTTCATTATTTCGACTTATTTCTTAGAGAAGTTTAATTCATGTTTGCAGTGAATTAAGTTCCACGGAGATCAATCTTTCTGATGTATCCTCAGATCCAGCATTTCCTTGTCGAGGAGCCTACGGTAGCTCCTTACGATCTACTGCGTCAAGCATAAAGCTCGCTACCGGATCCTAAATCCAGTGTGTTCAGCCTCACCTCCCGCGACCGCCTATCGGGACCCAGGGCGTGTCCAGGGCCCTCGGGGCTGGTGGTCTGACGGGATGGGAAGCTCTGTGTTTGGCTGGAAGCTTGGCGGAGCAGCGTGTGGTTTCTGGGAAAGGCCCTGGGAGGGGGCTGATAAAGATTATATGGCTGTGCTAACAAAAGCTATAACCATCCCGCGCCACACCCTGCTCCCAGACAGTGGACTCTGCTGCACTGGTCTCCTCATCTCTCTCTGTCCCGCTCATGTGTCCCGATGACTGTGAGCAGAGTGAACCAACAGAGCACAGAGCACAGGCAGTAGCTGCTGGTGCTGAGAACCTGCCGGGCAGGTTTGGCCCCGCCTCCAGTGGAAGTCCCCCAAGAGCCTTAAGCAAAATGAATGGAAAACAGCATGTCCCTGGGGAAGGGAGGAGGAGTAAGACCAGCACTCAGACTTCGAAGGTGCAACATTATTTTGCTGCATGTCCAAGGGCCACCTGGAAGATCCTCTCTGGTAGCCAAGCACCTAATGTTCAAACGTGTCTGAGAAAGACGAGAGACAAGGGGTGGGTGGGGCACAGCATTTAAATGACAGTGTGGTGGCCTGTTTAATGCTACAATGGCTTCTTGTATCTGGTAGGGTGGAGAGGACCAAAAAACCATAGAACCTGATGAGTTTAGACTGGGATA